ATCAAGAAAATAAGTGAGTATGGATATAATTAAATGATAGTCGGAGTTATAGAATATAAAAAATGTAATTAAAAAACTTATGAATTATATTTATATATTTATTCAATGAATGAAATTTTAAATTATTAACTTTTAATATTGTATTTACTCTAATTATTTAACCTTCCGTTATGCTAAGTATTAATTTTTTTAAATAATTTTCATAGGTTTTAAATTATTAATGATTAATTTCATTATTACTATTAGAAAATCTTTTTAAAAAGTTATTAATTTAAAATCATATGAATTTTATATAAAAATTATTATTTAAGTAATTTATATAGTATTTGTGACATCAAATAAGTAAAAAAAATCATAATTATTTGTGAAAATAATTATTAAAAAATTTAAATATAAAATATCAAAAGATATTTTTTTTATAGATATATGATTATGAATTTAATAATAAATAAAATTATTTTAATAATTAATTATAATTTGTATCAAGAGAATATAAGTGGGTAAATGAATATAATTAAATGATAGTAGGAATTACAAAATATAAAAAAGTAGTTAAAAGATTTATGAATTATATTTATATATTTATTCAATCAATTGAATTTTAAATTATTAAGTTTTATTATTGTATTTACTCTAATTATTTAACCTTTTACTATCCTAACTATTAATTTTTTAAAATAATTTTAATAGGTTTTATGTTATTCATTAATTTCATTATTACTATTATAAAATCATAATTATTTTTATTAATTTAAAGACATATGAATTTTATATAAAAATATTATTTCATAGAGACACTTTTTTTACTAAAATTTTGCTAATATTATTTTATTAATTATCATTTTTACTATAAAATCTAGAATATGTACCCTTGATTCTGAATATAATAATAAAGTAATATTAATAATTAATTAAAATTTATATCAAGAGAGTAAGTGAGTAAATGAATATAATTAAATGATAGTAGGCGTTACAGAATATAAAAAAAAAAGTTAATGAAAATATGATTTAATTTATTCATTAATTTCCTCATTATTATTAATTTCAATATCATATAAATTTTATATAAAAAAATTAGGGTTGTGGCTAGAGTTACTAATAAAGTGACACATCAATATAAAATTAGGGTTGATGTTAGGGTTGTCATGACAACCTTAGATTTAAATTAAATAGATAACAACTTAATATGTTATAACGAATATAGAGAAACATGATATTTTCTCTATCAAGTTGTTATATCCAAACAAATATAGAAAACAACAAGTTTCTATAGCAACCTAATATACTATAACAAACTTATAGAGAAAATAACAAGTTTCTATAACAATTTAATATGTTATAACAACCTAATAGAGAAAATAACATATATTTATAACAACATGATAGAGAAAAAACATATTTCTATAACAACCTAGTATGCTATAACAATTCGATAGAGAAAATAACATGTTTCTATAACAACATAATATATTATTGATTAAAAAAAAACATAATATATTATAACAACCCGATAGAGAAAAATAACATGTTTCTATAACAATCTAATATGCTATAACAATTTTATGGAGAAAAAAATATGTTATGCTATAAGAAATAGAGAAAACAACTACTAATAATTAATATAAACAAATCATATTTAATTAGACGACATCAGAAATGGTGCAAAGAAGAAGAAAACAACGTCGATAATGGTGTAAAAAGGAAGAAGACAACGTAAAAAATGATTCAAAGGGGAAAGAAGATGGCGTCGAAATAATATGTAGAACATTTCATAGCGGAAGAGAGAGCAAATTTTATGAAAATAAAAATGACATATGACTCAGTTAAGTGATGTTTTAATCTCACTTGCTTATTTTAATCTAATCGTTAAAATTGATTATCATATTTTCACATAAAAATGTCATTCTTATGTGATATATATATATATATATATATATATATATATATATATATATATATATATATATATATATATATATATATATATATATATAGAAGACAACGTAAAAAATGATTCAAAGGGGAAGAAGACGGCGTCGAAATAATATGTAGAACATTTCATAGCGGAAGAGAGAGCAAATTTTATGAAAATAAAAATGACATATGACTCAGTTAAGTGATGTTTTAATCTCACTTGCTTATTTTAATCTAATCGTTAAAATTGATTATCATATTTTCACATAAAAATATCATTCTTATGTGATATATATATATATATATATATATATATATATATATATATATATATATATATATATATATATATATATATATATATATATATATATATATATATATATATATATATATATATATATATATATATATATATATATATATATATATATATATATATATATAAGGCTTAAATAGTGTTGTGGTCCTTGTAAGTTAGCGATTTTTTACGTTTAGGTCCCTAAACCTTTTTTTTTCCAGATCTGAGTCCTTTTATTTCAAGTTTGTGTTGATTTTCGTCCTTGACGTTAGTGGTTTGTTAAAAAAAATACCGAGTTGTCAAACGGTACTGATGTGAAATGGCATTTTATTTTTCTTTTCTTAAATATTTTGCAGACGTGGAATCAATCCTTTGAGGTCATTTAAAGGAGGACTAAATCCAAAAAAAATTACCATTAGCTTCCTCTTCTTCCTCTTCAAATATTTTTGGCCACTTTTTCTTCTCTTCTTCTCTGTAATAGGTTGTTGCGTCTTTCTTCTCTATAACAAGGCAACGTCATCTGTAGGTAATTTCTCTCAGGCTCAAATCCCAGTTTGTGGTTGCAATAGGGCAATGCGGATGTTCATCTCAAATTCAAGTGAAAATCCTAAGCGAAGATTATGGAAATGTGCAAATTTGGGTGTAATGTCAAGTTGCAAGCTATTCTTGTGGAATGATGAACTTGAGCGCAACATATCAACTGAATTGAAAGAATCAATTGGTTGCAATTTCTCATAAGTTGTGCAAGAACTAGGTTGCATAATCAAAGATGTTGAAGCTAGGAAAAAATAGAAGATGAAATTGAAGTTGGAAAACGAAAGGAAGAAGGTCAATTTGTTTAGGATGTTGTTGATTTTGTCACGGGTCTTATTCTGTGCTTACCAGAAATGGTAGTGAGTTCCATGTCTGTAATTTTTTTTATGATTTAGTCCATATAAGATGACTACTTGTTGAATTTCATCCCTCTATTGGTTAATTAGTTAAGAATTCCGTCCCTGGATAGTTTTGGAATTTTGCATTTCGTCCCTATTTCATGTTGTGTTGTTTGTATGTTATCCCTTAATCTTAATGAAATGTTTCTATTTAATTATAATTTCTTACTTATGTTAGTGGGTTGTATTTGTAGTTTACCTAATTCTTTAGTACATAAAGGCAAAAACAGAACATAATAATAAAAGGCATACCTAGTTGTGTCATTATTTCATAATGCCATAAGGCATAAGATTGCAATATACACAAACAAAACATAACTTGTCTTAGAATTACATCAAAATAACATAACTTGTCTCAAAAGCATAACTTATCTAAGAATTACACAAACAAAACATAACTTGTCTTAGAATTATACAAACAAAAGGATAACTTGTCGTTACAAAAACAAAAACATAACTTGTCTTAGAATTATATAACATAATGCCACAATGCCAAAATACACAAATGCCATAATCATAATGTCTTATTCATGATAACAAAACCTTCTTCATGACTTCCTTGTCATAGGACTTCTCCTCAATTCTAATTTCCTTGAAACCTTAGGTTTGGTACTCTTTGGAATAATAATCATCCATAAAATATTTTGGATAAAAAGAAAAGGTATGCTTACACCATATATTTGTAGATATTTTTGAAAGCCACTCTCAAGCTTTCACATTAATCACCTTCAATTATTTCATTTTAGCATCCCAGGCTTAGATATATGTGACCTTTGCAACTTCCATCATTAAGTCTCTAATTTGTGTCCCTCCACCAAACTTCTTTTTTAAATTGGCATACAAATGCCTAAGAAAAAGTCTATTCTCTAGCGTCTCAAACATATCTTCAAACACGGGTATAAAACCATACAAACCAATTTAAACAAATAACCAGAAATTAAGGATGCAAAATAAAAAACCAGAAAATAAATAGGGATGAAATCCAAAAAACCATAAAAGACATAGGGATGCAATCCAAAAAACCAGAAAGGACATTGGGATGCAATCCAAAAAACGAGAAAAGTATTAGGGATGAAATCCAAAAAACCCAGAAACTACATAGGGATGCAATATACCTTTTCTTGGTCAGAAATAAAAACCCATCTTCTTTCTTGACCTATGTCCTCCAAAATCAAGGTAAGAAATCACCTCCATGACTCCTTAATTTCAGTTTCGCATAAACCAAAAGCTAGGGGATAGTATTGATCATTTGGATCTCTACCAACTTCAATTAGAAGACTCCCTCCATACTTAGTCTTGAGATGGAATTCATCAACCCCAATAAAAAGCCTGCAAGATGTTGTGAAGCCCTTCTTAAGCCCATCAAAGCAATAATAGAGAGATGCAAACCTTGGTTGAATTATCGGTGCAATCCTTGTCAAAATGATTTTACAAGTGTTCCCTGAATTGACCCTCCTTAACTCTGTAGAATATCTCCATAAAAGTTTGTATTGCTTCACTCTGTCACCCTCAATCAGAGCCTTTGCTATTTGTTTGACCTTGTATGCCATGTTCATAGTTATCCCAATAGAAAAATTACTCCTAATATTAGAAACAATATCATGAATCATAACACCATCTGAAGATGCCATCCTAGCCTCCCCAATTTTAGCAACCCACTTGAAAGTGGATGAAGTGTTGTTCAAAACTCTACCACACGTGTGAGTTCCAATCCACCTCTTCATTTTATATGTGTGTTTATTCCTAACTTTTCTTACAAGGGAAAATAAACAACATTTCCCTTGAAAATTATCCTTACACTCACTTTTTCATTTTTCACATACTTTATCTCTCTCCCCATTTAATACTGACCATTATGTAATTTCCTCTTTGAATTCATCAAGTGTTCCGAACTTCAATCCCACTTTGAACCTGTAACTCTTGCTCAAATCCTCAATCTTAAACCTAGGATACCTTGGTTCCTTCTCATCACTAGAAACATTAGGGTCACTGCTTCCAAGCTTATGACTAACATAATTAATATCCACCTCATTGTCCATACCACTAGATGAAGCTATATATTTTCAACACCAATTGAATTTTTCTTTGGAGTATCTCTATGCTTTTATGCTGCAACTTTAACCCTTTTCTTTGGAGTATCTTGTTTTTCATTAACATCAAAGCAATCATACAACCCAAGCACCCTCTCATCTTCACTATCATCAAATGATAAACCATCAAATTCAAAGTCACTATCTTCACTATCATCACTATCCTCATTTTCATCTGTATGAACATCATCTACTTCATTTGCTTCATTAGCTTTAACACCACCGACATCATCAACATCATTACCTTGAACATCATTAACTTCATTTGCTTCATTAACTTGAACATCACTAACAACGTTAGCTTCATTACCTTGAACATCAATTGCTTCATTACCTTGAGCATCATTAGCTTCATTACCTTGAACATCATTAACATCATTATCTTGAACATCATTAGCTTCATTATCTTCTTCTTCATTAGCTTCATTAACTTGAACACAACCAACATCATTAACTTGAACACCACAAATATCAGTAACTTGAACACCACCAACATATTTAGGATCAACATATAGGTGCATTGCAATTTTCATTATCATGGCATATTGATATACCTCATCAGCATCACTATTAGTAACCATTATACTATACATGTCTCTCTCATTGTTATACCACCATAACATGTATTGTGAATGCTCAAGTTGAGTAATGTCTTTCATTATACCAGTTTCCTCAAATAAGATCCATCTATCAGGATCAATCTCTACTAAATGCTCAAAACCCCTGTTTAGTATACTACATAGTCCCTTAAAAAACCACCCCCGTAACGGAATACCAAATTGAAACTCATGACTTGCGATACGAACATAGTAGAGAACACAAATAAATTCAACGAACAACTAAATGCAACACAAGACTGGAAGATAAATGCAAAATACCTTAGATGAGATTGTCAACCATAACAACACCATCATCGCATCGTGGTTGTCGCCTCACATTCATCTCTGCCGTTCTCCAATGGTCACCATACTTCTCCTCCCAAATATGGAAAAACCCTAATTTACAGGGGCTGGTGCCAAAATTCGTTTTCTAAATATTTTGTTGGTTTTCAAGTTAACATAAGTCATTGGCCACGTTTGCAAAATATTTAATAAAATAAAAATAAAAATTCCATTCCACGTCAGCATCGTTTAACAACTCATCATTATTAACAGACCACTAACGTTAGAGACGAAAATCAACACAAACTTGAGATATAAGGACTCAGACCTGAAAAAAAAGATTTAGGCACTAAATACAAAAACTCGCTAACTTACATGACCAAAACACTATTTAAGCCTATATATAAATGTAAAAAGAAGCACCTTCAATCCTTCTTTTCTTATGGCAAAACCAGCTTTTACACTTTTATAAAGGAAATAACATCGTCTCCTATCAAAATTCTTAGCCCAAACCCTAATTACAACAGAAAACACTATTCAAGATGAAGTCTTCTTCTTGTTCAATTCCAACACTGGATTGAATATGCGACTTGCCGGACTCAATTCTCTGTCACATGCTCTCTCTCCTTCCAACCAAACTCGCTGCAACCACAAAAGTCCTCTTAAAGAGATGGAAACTGGTATGACTCCCTCTCTTCATTCTTAACTTAGATGACAAAGCCTTCAAACTCTTTAAACACTTTTTCTCAAGTATGTTTACTCAACCATGTTCTCTTTGCGTGACAAAACACACTTTAATCCAATCTTTTACGCGGAAATTAGTCAAGTATTTGCGCTTCTAAAAAAGGATTTCTATAGAATTTTTAAATTTGTTATGCAACGAGGAGTCAAAAATATTATCTTCAACATGTCTGATAAAGAGTGTTGTATCAAATTACTTCCTCGCATTCTCAGTTGTTAGACACTTCAAATTCTTACGTTGGAGAATATAAAAATGTGGGAGTTTGATTGAGTGGATTTTCCTTGTCTCAAAACTCTTCATTTGGATAGAGTTTATTTCGAATCTGCTAAATATTTTGTGAAGTTTCTAAATGGTTTCCCTATTCTAGAAGATTTGAATTTGAATGCAAAATCACGAATCTTCCAGAATTCCTTGATCCAGTGAAAAACTTGAATGCTTTACCTAATTTGGTCAATGCAAGAATTTGTCATGATGCTGATATTCTGATGACTTTGGTTAGTAAGGCGAGGATTTTGCATGTAGAAGAGGTATGAATTTATGCTCATGAATAATTGTTTAGAGAAATTACCATTTCACAACTTCCTCCATTTAAATTTTTTCTAGTTTTAGATTTTTTTCCTTTTCAAAACACTAAGTCTGTATGGGAGTTGCTTTTTAGAGAGTTTTGGAAAGGAAGATTTTAGAGGGTTGCATTATATATTGAAATGTGTATGATATTTTTAAAAAGTAAAAAAAATAAATATGATTTTATATACTAATGGTGTATATTTATTTTTAAACTTTTTAAAAACATCAAATATAATTTGAGATATAGACGCAGCTCTCCAAAAACCTTCTCGACCAAAAACCAACTCTCAAACAACAAGTGTTTAAGAAATTTAGGATATAATTGAACTTTGTTTTTTTTAACTATATCCTTGTTATATTTACTTTCTTTACATTGAGTGTACAAATATACAATAATTAACTAATTTTTTAATCTATATGCACATAAGATCTGGAATATAGAGTATACTTGTATTATTTCGCCACTTGAAGCTCCTTCGTCATGCTTCGTTCAAAATGCTATCTGACTTCTTCGTCGAAGGCACCTTGTCTATTTCAAATATTTTCTCAAAAATCCTCTTGACATTTCTTATTCCTTTTGAGCGTCGAATTTACACCCAACAAATTACTCCCAAAAAATGTCTTTTTTGATCAACCAAAGAAAAGAAAGTGACATTTTTTTGAAAGCTTTTGACGCAACATTATTTACTGTTGTGACGTCATGGTCAT